CAGTTTCCAAAATCTCTAGAATAGATCAATTTACAAAATTCAAAATATTATTCTGTCCACGTCAGAAACCACAGTTTCCAAAATCTCTAGAATAGATCAGTTTACAAAATTTAAAATATTATTCTGTCCACGTCAGTAACCAGTTTCCACAATCTCTAGAATAGATCAGTTTACAAAATTTAAAATATTATTCTGACCACGACTGTAACCACAGTTTCCAAAATCTCTAGAATATATCAGTTTACATAACTTAAAATATTATTCTTCGACGTCAGTAACCAGTTTCCACAATCTCTAGAATAGATCAGTTTACAAAATATTATTCTGACCACGACTGTAACCACAGTTTCCAAAATCTCTAGAATATATCAGTTTACATAACTTAAAATGTTATCCTGTCCACGTCAGTAACCACAGTTTTACTTCATATATCACCATCATAAAAATCTAACCAAATTCTTTATTTTGTTTGTTGTCTGACATTTGTGTTCTCTGCATAGTTGATACAAATACAACACATACATAATATACACAGTTCACAAGCACCAAGAAACTTTGGCAAATTGTTAAAAAGATTACTGTCAATTTATCTGTACATACAAGTTATGCATGAAACTTTGTTAGTCCTTACTGCACAGATTTGGTAAGTCATATTAAAACGATTTTGGAGCCTAACTACATAGATCCAGTCCATGTCGCTACATCCGACCATGCTCAATCTGACAACTGTGCATTATATCAATAGCCATTTCCATTGTAAGTGTAGATAGATGGAGAAAAATACTTGGAAGTTCAGTTATCTCTAGATAGATGGAGAAAAATTAAGAAAAAACACTTGGAAGTTAAGTTATCAGAGGCGACTGCAGGAATGAACTCTCATTGCAGGTACTTCCACAAAAAGCGCTCCGATATCCAAAGTTGCCGAATTTTTTATGTCACTGATTTTCCAAAAACTTATATTACTGTCAGATGCAAAAATCAGATTGGACAAATTTGGACATTTTTACTTACACTTACTTTAATTTTTTTTACATAGTAAGTTTATCTACAATCTATGATATTTCCATATAAATAATTATATTTTAGCTCATTTGTGGCACAGTGCAGCGGCGGGTCGGGTGAACTGACCTTGCGAGCCGGATCTGGCCCGCGGGCCGTAGTTTGGTGATCCCTGCACTAGAGGGAAGCCAGCTAGTTAATACAACTCACCACCAACTTTTGGGCTATTCTTTACCAATTTAATATAATAACCGTATCTTTACAAAATTTGACCAACTTTTAATAAACAATGCAAGTTTTTTGTACCCCAAAACAAGATCAAACTCTTGGGTATTTCTAGCTATAATGAGGATATTGTGGTACTACAGAAAGACTTAGATTAGTTAGTAAGTTTGGCAAATGTTAATTACATCAAGTGTAAGATAATGCATTTGGTTTATTATAATTTGGATTACACATCATGAGGTAATTATTTCTATGTAGGCCACTAGTTAGGCCTCACTTGTAATAATTTGTAGAGTTTTGGTCTCCATAGTTAAGAAAAGATACTGACTTATTGGAAAGGGTTCAGAGGAGAGCTAATAAGAGGATTCATAAGATGGATAGGTTATCATACAGGGTTATCTTGAGGAAAGAGTAAGAGGTGATCTTATTAAAGATTATTTAGGGGATTGCATGAAATAAAGGCTTGTTTGTTTGCTTTGAATTTCCCGCAAAGCTAC